AGAGTCTCTTAAAAATACTTTTAATGTTGCATAGCACTATTGGCCCGGTTCACATTTTTTCCTTGCTTTTAACTCATTTTTATTTTTTTATATATCAACCTAGCATCAAAAAAAATTTAGTGCAGGCCTGGCTCCGTCCCCGCTAGTGATGTTAGAGTATCAGTTTAGATGATCACACTTGATATATTTAATTAAATGAATCAATCGACGTTGCACATAAATTAATCTATCATTTAATGTCGTGCAATTGTCATTAAACTAGGGCTTGACACTCGTAGTATTGACTATCTTTACTCTTCTTAAAAATGTGTGATTAAGCCCATGTCTGTCTTTTCTTTTAAAACTTTTTTTTCTATATATTTATTTTTAATTATACATTTGCACAATTAAATATTCTAAACGTAATTCTATTTTTCCATACTTTTTAACCATACCTTTTTCAAAAATTCATTATTCAGAATATCGTAAATAACATGATTATTAACGAATGACGAGTATACCCCTACAGTTCTAATTTTTATTACATTGTATCTTTAATTCATCCATATAAATATGAGATTTTAGTTCACAATATAATACATACAAGTCTATTGATTTATCTACTTTTTTCATTTTTTTCTCTCCATTTTATAATACGTTATCAGCACAAGTTTCTCAAAATCAAAGTGAATTAATCAGAAATTAGTCATATATACCAAAAACAATTTGGTAGCATGTAAATTTTGTTTATATACATATGCATTGTAATTCAAGGAGATTGCTTTTTCAGTCGAAATCAGTTAAAAGTATATCATTTTATCTCTGTCGAATTTCGCCATCGACTAGTTTATCATTCTACCTCAATTAATTTTGCCAGCAATTAATTTGTTTGACACGTGCATCTCTATATTTATAATTATTTTATTGCATGTACACGCATCCCAATATTTAACTATTGCCTATACACACGTTCCATTATGAATGGTTTCATCGGGCATGTGAATGGCTCATGTACACATTTGTATGTTTGCATAAAGAATTTTTCCCCTTGTACAGTCATTAATGGATTGTAAAATGTACAATCCTGACTGATTAGCATGGGCTCCACTGATTAATTAATCAGTGGGGCCTACACTAATCAGTCAGGGCTGTAAAATTTACAGTCCATTAAGAACTGTACATATAGCATCTTTCAAAAATGTGCAGAAGTTGTCAACATTAATATAATGATTAAATATTCTACACTCATTAAAGAAAATGATTATGTACCCATAGCACAATCCATTATTAACCACATTCAAACCATTCATTACAGATTATTATTGAATATTCTTTATATCTTTAACTTGATTAAATATTTTAAAATATTCTTTTATAAATTTTAAGTTAATAATTTATCATGTTATTGTTCCTAAAATAACACAAAGTTATAATTAATATTTTAGAAGAATATTAATAATAGATTTGTCTGCTACAAATAATTTGTTGTTGCTTCTAAAGTAACACTACATTATAGTTCCCGTTTGGCCCTCATTAAACTTATAATATATTTTTCTCTCTCTATTTTTTAACCAAATATTCATTAATAAAATAATATTACACAAAAATCAAAGACGTTTCCTTATTTTCAACCACACATTCTTAAAATAAAAAAAAATTATTCCAAAAATTATAACATCAAATAATGGGGGCCGACATGGGGCTATAATTAATATTCCAAAACAATATTACATGCTCCTGAATAACAAAAATTATAATTTTCAATATTCCAAGAAGAATATTGCAGAATTATTTGAATCAATTAATATTTAAAAGAATATTGTGTTACTCTGAAAGAATCACAATTTTATATTTATTAATACTCTTGAATAGTATTGTGCTTATTTTTGAAAAATCACAGTTTTATGTAAATATTATATTGATTTTGGAAAATTGTAATTTTAATTTAATTGCTTCTAAAGAATAAATAATTTATTTATAGCAATATTTCTGAAAAATATTGTTTTGAGACTAGGGTTGTCAATTGATTGGATTTCGATCCAAATTCAATGAAATTAATGGGAGATGGATTTAAAGTTTTAGTCCAATAACCCGATCAAGATCCGAATTCGATAATTCGTTAACTAAATGGATCAAATATGGTTATAGATCAATTCGATCCGATTTGTTATAACTAAATAAGTTGGTAAAATATTTTTATGGTATGTTTTTTGTGACTAAAATAAAAAATGAGATAATAAATAAATTTAGAATAAAAAAAGTCATCAAATTCAAAACATAAAAAAGTTGAAAATTTTTTAATCATTAAACCCGTTTAAGAATTTGAAAATAAATAAATAAATAAATAATTGATTCCAACATTATTTTTTCCATAATTTCTTTAATTTCGGATGTGATTATCGAATCGAATATTTGATAATATAGCAAAACGGATATGAATTTAACAATCAAATATCCGTTGGATTATCGGATCGGATCGGATAATTATTTTTATTGGATCGATTGGATATAGACAGATTCAGTCCATATCCAATTCATTTACAACCATATTTGAGACCTTAAAAGAGTCAATATTGTGTGATATGAAGGGATAAATTTACTATTTTTAATAATTTGTCTCCATTAAATAAAAGAAAATTTTACAGCGTTTTTTAATAGTGTTTTTTTAATTGGTGCACTGCACTAAACTCTAGTGAGCATTTTGATAAAATATTGTATTGAACCAGAAGTTCAATAACTTTTATATTTTATTATTTGATATGTTCAATTAGATCATCATTAGATCAATAATGATATGAAATTGAAAATTTAAATGGACATTCAACGAAGAATCAAAAGATTTTTTTTAATTCAATGAATTCCAATACCATAATTATTCTCTCTATTATTGGTCATTAATCATCACTGGCTAAAAAGGGACTGAATACTTTATATTTTGAAAAATTAATTAGGGTGATATATGGGGATCCATCATCCTCCACGTTGACTATCTAGATAATGTTTATATATAATAAATTTGATACATCTACTAGTTGATTGCATGATGTTGACAATCTGAAGTTTGTGAAAAATTTTAAATTATGAGTATAAATTTTCAGATTATACAATCAAAATAGTATATCTTTTAATACAAGTGAGCCTAAATATTAACATTTTAATAAGTGTTAGTTGGGATATTAATAAATGATTTAACATTATTGCTTGTTAAACGCATCCATCCAGTTTCTTAATTGTTGCTATTGAGAACAAAGTACTTATCATTTATGTTTAGGGAATGTTATTACGTATCATGTCAACATTATAGTTCTAATTCCCGTTATAACTTGACTTATGGTCAGAGCTTAATTTTCCATTTAATTATTTGGATAGTGCAGTACACATAAAATCGATCCACTACAATGCACTGAGATGAAAAAGTAAAGAATGTTGAGAATAAATAGGCAGTTTGAACATTTATCTCAAATGAGTGATATTTTATAACGCGGTTAGCTGATCATCATTTGATTGGACAATTTTCTCGGCATTAGGGGAGGAATTAAGAAGTTGAAAATAATGTACATATGTATCATTATCTAAATCCTCGTAAAAGATAATTCGAACCAGAAGTTCGAAAGATAATTTATTTAGACGCGTTTACTGACCAAAGAAATCAACAATATCTCACATGTCACCTTTTAATGCTCCAATTCGAATTAACGTCTTGGAGGACAATCGGTTAATATTATGGGGCTGTCTGATAGCGCTTTTGGCAATGGAAAATCAAATTTTCTTTCACATCATAAGGGCCCACTGACACAAAAGTCTTGCACGGCATCAAGGCAAATTGGGGATGAATTACCATATTATCATCCATGTGCCAATTATTACAACTTTGACCAATTCAAACATGGCATGCATGAGGGTAAATTGGGAAATTGTCTTCTTATGGCCTGACTTTCGTACTTCAATTCTGCAGAATTTGTTGAATAAAAAAATAAGCAACGGTCGACTTTTTGCTCCTTCAACGGTCTGAATTATACTGGACCGTGCGCCCAGACAGCCCCTATATTTGATAAATTCATGGTGCTATGGCACTCCTTGAAGTATGATAATATTCCTCAACATAGTAAATTTCGCAAAGATCGTGGTGGATGAAATCACAACTCCATATCATGTTATCTTAACGATGCATGAAATTTGAAATATGTTATAGTCAACTTATCGACATGACTATTAATTTTATCCATAAAGGATTTAATATGCATGAATCATAATTCAAGTGATATTATCGTGAGGGGGAGTAAATACACGTTATACTTTTTTTTCTTGACCAAATTTTTGTCCCGTTGGGTTTTCCGGCAAGGTTTTCAACGAGGCAATTTTTGTAGGATATTTAAAAGAATAATGTACTATTTTTCTTTCATTATAAATTTTCCCACAGAATTTTTCTAATAACATTTTAATGAATATATTTTTCGTGTTATAAATGTCCATAACTTAAAAGACATTTATCCTCAAAATAATACTCTTATATGTATGAGATTCCCGAAAAGCTTAACAAGAGTTATTTTTCGAATCATCACATTACTATAATCGTCAAAAGTTGATAAATATCTCGTATGATGTTATTTGAAAACTATACAAGACAACATGAAAACATACTTTATCAAAAATTTCAATATTGAAGACATTAATGTACAAGATAAAGATGAATTGATACAATAATTGAAATCATGGGGAGCAATTGTACTCTTTTTCTTTCAATAAAGTTTTGTTCGAATGAATATTATTGACAATTTTTTAATGAGGTAGATATTTTGTAATGTGTCATTAAACTTGGAGTGTTATAAATAATATGATTATTAATGAATGACAATTATACAAATGCAACCCCGTTTTTATTACCATTGTATTCATAATTCATTATTATAAGCATGGAGTTTTGGTTCTGAATATAATACATAAAACTTTATTGACTTCTCTACTTTCATCTTTCTATTTTCTCACTGTTTAATAACGCAAAGCAAACATGGGCGATAAAGTCACTGCCCTCTGTGTGAGTTGTCGGCAGGGGTTGTGTGAGCTCCCACCGGAAGCATGATTGGATTGGGAGCCAAAACAAATGGCAGTGTAAGGTGCCTGGGCCCTGGCAGTGTAGCACTGCCCTTATACTTTTTGGTGT